GCCTTCTTTCAACTATACATATGCTGTGACGCGGCGCACATGTGTTTCGATTCGTGTCTCTTGTTGCTACTGTAGTATACTCCAATACAAGGAATGTTGATTCGAATAATAAAAGAGTTAACCCGCTAACCCCTTTAAGCTCCGTTTATTTTAATTGCCGTTTCTTATCTCTTTCTTCCCTCCTTCCCCCCACGGATTATGTAACCAATTGGCAGGATTTAATTAATTTTTACCATTTTTTTTAATATTCAAACGACTCGCGATATTTGTGAACTATTTTAGGTTGTAAAATTAAAAAAAAAAAGAACGAAAAAAAAGTTTTGTTATAATATTTCAAGTAATTGGTTACATTATAGGTATAAACAATGGAAATTCTAATAAACTTGTGCGTAATGATACTACACAGTTGAGGAATGCTTCCAACTGGTAAAGTTGTGTACTCTCATCATCGTACATAAATAATGTTTGAATGCAACTAAATTATTTAAAAACTTGGATCTATATTTAAATTTGAAACTCGTACGCTCTAAATCCGAATGCAGAGTTCATTGACTTGTTTCTCGTGTACACGAAGTAACGCGATATCCACACGTTATTAGCATTATAATGCACGATACGTGTAATTTGTGGAAAACACATTAGTAATGACCTTTACGAGTTAAAAATAATGTTTTGAAATATTTTTCGTGGTAAAAGAAGAAAAAAAATTCTTTGTTTTTTAAAACTTTATTCAAGTTCTTGTGTTTATATTATTTATTGAAAAATAAATAAATAAATTTATACTCCAACAAAGTGACGTTATTATACGTAAAACAGCCGAGAATAATATTAAAACAGTTTTATATCGACCAGCATAAAGTTTGAAACGTATTTATTATATGAGTTGTTATTGAAATAAATACTAAACTTATGTACACACATGACCCATCGATCAGACAGATCATAATTATTTGTTCATCCGAGAAAATACCGAAAGTTATCTACTACGAGTTAAAAAAAAACCGCTGTATTTCAACAAGAGTCGTCAAAACGAAAATCAACCGAGATGAAAAGTGCGTACAGCCTTATGAGCTATGACAGCGATTGATTTTAAAAGTATAGTTTAACACGAACATACCAGGCCCGATTGTCCTCGCATTATTTTGCACACACACTTATTAATTATTTTTCGACGCGATCGAGCAGAAGAAATCGCTTGGGCGTATAAGTGCGAAGAGAAGATCATGATTGTATTCGGCATGTTCTTTCGGGGCGAATCACGTGTACACACTGCACGATTGATACATGTATCATGCAAGTGTATATTTGCGGTAGGTCAGGCTCTTTCGTGCGTATAATATTAAGTACGTGTGTGCAAGACCGACTCGTAGAAATCCTAGAGTGCCGTCCTGGGGTATAAGCTTAGCTGCCCTCTAATACACACGGCACACACCGCACGCCATTATTGACTCTCAAGATTTACAGCCGGCTCGCGTGCCGTTATTAATAAAATGCAAGATTGACTCGCTTGTGTGTGTATGCATAGTGTTCTACTCGCGTTACGTCACTAATTTCCTTCATGTCTGGCAGAAACGAGAAATATATGTATATATAGACTCGCTAAACTATTTTCGAGCCTCGCGCTTCTATTTATGTGTTTGTGTCTATAAGTGCCCTCGTATGCGTTATGCACACGTGTGTACCTATAAGTAGATGAAATGCGGGCGACAGACGTAGCGAATTAAATGCAACAACAACGACGACGACACCTCACGCGTGCGATAAATATTAGATGTACTTAAATACATTGTATAACGATACCCAAACTTGATAACAGTACCAAATATCGTGACAAAAGATACGCTTACAAACCGGTTACATTAATGCTGAGATAAAGCGAGGCAGAAAAAAAAAAGAAACGTCACATTTGTGTAGGTACGTGTACTTTAATAATACGAAGCACGAGTGCTGTATGGTACTCTTATCTTGGATCATGGATAAGCGATGCTCGTTTTGATTGCGGAACTTGACGTACGTTAATACTATTATTGGTGAGAGAATCCATGATAAAAAGTTGATAGGAAGAGTATAAGTAGAGCACGAGTGTGATGATTAAACTGTCAAAAATACGATGTTTGAAAAACGTATACCTAACAGGTGTATTTCTTCCTGTTTTTTCATTTTTTTTTTTTTAGCTTTGGATAGTTTCTTAGCTTAACATTTAAAATGTAAGCGAGTAATAACGGGGTGAGCGGTAATTATTTACTGTGTAACGTAAGTGCACGTTGATAATAACAAAAACAATCATAATAATGGTTATAATATTAATAGTAATAAAAATACTATTAATGATAATAATAAAAATAATTACTAATGATAGTAATAATTAGTGCCATCAGTTATTATACAGCAGTTTAATCACAATTTTATAGATGTCACAATAAAAGAATCTGCACGTCGCGGTGAAAACGAGTATCAATAATGGCAGTCGTTCAAGAAAAATAAACCATAGTACATTCGCTCAAAAACACATACAATAAATACTATTACGTTTCAACGCTATGATATATACAACAAGACAGCACTAATAAACAATCGAGCAGGTATACAAAGAGAAACAAATAGAAAGGGGACTATTTTCGAAAAATATCATTTCACTCTTGAGCGCAAGAGAATTAACTAGAAGCTAAAAAGATCTGTCAGTTTTTTTGTAAATACTCAAAACTTGCAACTGCGACGAGAACAAAAATAGCACGTTCGGAAAATTTCTGTTGAATCTCCAGTAATCCTAGATTAAATATGGGGATGGATACAAGATGTGATGCTCGAAATTTTTTTTTTTTTCGGACAACAAAATTTTCTTCTATATTTTATCGGGTGTATAAACGTGCCGGAAAATACTCTGATGTGTGTAGATTTTTTTTTTCGTACACAAGACTTTTCAAAGTACACAAATATTGTTACTAAAAACAAAACAATTACCATTTATTAAAACAAAACTGCTTTTCTCAAGCAAACGTAAGATAAACAAAAGTTTATGTCATTAAAACATAAAAGAACACGTTCGAGTACCAGCAGTTATAACACTAAGAATGAATCATTAATATTAATCTACAATAAGACAATAAAATGTATAAATTCACAATTTCCGAGGAAATAAATTTCTCGATAAAATTGATAAAATTTTTTTTTCATGATTATTACACCTCAACATGCACGCGTGGATTTATAATTAAATCGCCAACCACGTGCGTGTATTATCGACTAAAAATAAAACGCAACAATCGATTTCTTTTTTATGCAGCTGCCGATAAGTACCTGTTATTAAACAAGTCGTAGCTACGACATAATATTTTAATTCACGAGCACGACTTATACGAACGCGGCACTTTTCATTGTTTACTTCTCTTCCGAGAGATGTTTAATGTAAATTATTAATAAGAAAAAAAAAAAAAAAACCAAAAGAAAAGGAAATCAGAAAAAACTTTTATCGCGTAAACATTATAGTGCGCGTAAAACACGGCAGTATCTAAGCCTAAGTAAGAAATCGGATTAACACGATTAAACAACAAAGCTGGAGGAGCAGGAGCTGAGCCTAATCGCACAAACATAAAAGCTCTTTGACTCTAGCACTCTCAATTTTTTTTTTTCTTTTCTCTTCACCAGGAATACGAAAAATAGCGCTATTTTCATTGAAAGCCTTAACTGGAAATTTAGTGTTCGACACGGAAAATGTGAAAACAGAAATCGTTCATTCGCATCGCGTGTAGCTGGCAAAAATACGTGCTCGATTAAAGTATTTCCACTCGTTCTGAGTTACGGTTAATCTTCAGATTCTCGTCCATAATTAAACACAGCCATGATAAATATGACGTAAAAACATACTTGTGTGGAAAATAATAAGCTATAGTGTTTACACACGTTGTATGCACATTTTCGCTTGAAAAAAAAAAAAAAAAAAAAAAAAAAAAATTTCGCCAAAACTCATGACTCGCAACGTTTACTAACAAGAGCAATGCATGTATTGATTCGTATAGTATCTGCTCCACTTATTAATGTCTTTTTTGTTTTTATCGAAATCATTCGAATCCATCCACGACGTACTTATTATTTTCCAAGATCATTCGTACACGAGCGACAAACTTGATGAAATCATCGATAACTCGATAACGACAATGTTGATAGCTCGAAGCATATACGATTAAACCGTCAGAGGAAAGAAGCAGCCTATATCTTCCCGAAAAAATATTGCTTCATCGCTCGATAAGACGACGAGACAATGTTAAAAAACGGTCATTAACGAGAACTTCTCCAGGGGTCGTTTCTATTTCCAAAAGCTTTCAAGAGCTTTCCCATAGAAGGGGGAGGGAAGCCAAAGTTGCGACACGAAGCCCGTCAGCTCGGGGGGCGGCAATAGCCCGGTGGACGCAATTAGGGCCGTAAGAAAAGCTGGATGAGTCGCGGAGGGCGACAAAAGCGCGGGCGAAGGCGTAAAAAACAAAACGAGACTGCATCAGGGGGAGAGAAAAGACATTCATCGGGGGGGGGGAGGAGGAGAAAGAAAGAGGGCGAGAGAGCGTGGCCGTCCCCGTGCGCGTTGTACACAGGCGTCCCCCGTGATATATCGGCTTCGGCCCCGGGCGCTGAAGCTCGTAAAAGCCAGCGATCGCGCGCGCGGAGAACCGGGGGGAGGCGCGAGCAGGCTAGCTGGGGGCTGAGAATTGCGAGCTGTGCGTCGAGGGAGGGGATGGGAAAGAGAGCCTCGTCGCGCCCCCATGGCGGTCGTCCAGAAAGAGCGAGAGAGACAAGGGAAGGAGGATGGGGGAGGGGGATCAGGTGTCGGATCGATGCACACGCGAGGAGCTACTGCTGCTGCTTTCCCCCCCCCCCCCCATCCCTTCCCCGTCAGTGGCAACAGAGCTAGCCACCCTATATGTATACGATTATTATGTACATGTATAAAATCAAAGGGGTGGTTGTATTTTGACATTGTTCATATTATTGTGTACTTAGGGGCTTACCTGCTGGTGGTGGTCTTTGGCCGGTCCACGAGACTCGGAGGAGGTGCACGAGACGAGCGGAGGGGGCGGAGGCAGCTCCTGGTAGCAAGTGCTCGACTCACCGGAGCCCCGGCGGCTGCCCGCTATGCACATGGCCCTACGGAATAGGCCCGCGACGACGGCGCAGAGGCCGCATTGCATGCTAGCGGCGCTGCCGCCACTACTCGCGTTGCTACTACTGCCACCACCGCCGCTGCTGCTAGCCCGGCCACCTACACCACCACCTAAACCGCTATAACCACTACTCGACCCGGCGCCGGCGCTCGAGCCGCTGCCCCGCTGGGCCGCCCGGGCCTCCCTCGGCTCCAGCGCTGCTTCCTCCTGCCGATTCTTGCAGCTGCGCCTCCTCCGCCTCCGCCTCAGCTGCTGCTCGCCGCCGCGCTGCTGCAGCTTGCCTGATGTTCCCGACTGGCACGTTTCAGGTGTATATCATATATATTTATATTTATATATGATGTGTGTGTGTGTATCCGTCCTTCCTTCCTTCCTTCCTTCCTCCCTCCCTCTTTCAGCTAATAGCGAATGCTGATAGGCCAAGGTTGATCAGTCGCTCGGGAGGAGCCAGCCCAGCTGCGCTGGCCGGGGTGCAGACGGCAGCAGCAGCCGGCGGCCGGTGTCGGGCTCGGGGCCATTCACGAAGGGCCCCCCGATACTATACCACTGTTATCATTTTCCTCGTCAACGTTGCCGATAATGTCGATGCATCATGATAATGATGATGGCTCGTCCACGGTGGCCATGGAAACGAGCGGAGGTACGGGCATGGGACGGCCGGGGACGGCGCTTAACGCCGAGCTACTGGTGATACTACTTGGCTGATGGTTGTACAACTGGCGGTTGTGATGACAGTACAAGCGGCATGCCACCAACGGGGTGGGGCGCACGTGCTACACAGTTTCGGAGCAGCTACTCCCTTTTTAGGCCTCGTACACGTACAATGTAATATATATATACATACAGTCTGTATAATGCTTGTAAGTCATGTGTCCCCCGAAATCGGAGCACGTCGGGGGGGGTCACTGCACCGACTGGACGACTGGTGTAAATAGAGTGTCAGAATATATAGGTGATGGGCACAGCCGAGCGGTTCAGCTCAGCTTATATTATACGCAGTTCGGTCTCATGGTCGCGCGCGCACTGCACAAGCAAAGGCAGAAGCAGCGCAACGATGCCGCTCCGGCTTATCGGTTCGCGTCGCGTGTATCACACGCACACCCGCACGTTATTCACTGACGCTGATACACGTACTGATTTCAGTTCGGAGCTGAGGCTACTGCGCTCCTCTCATCTATACCTATATAATGATGATGCTGATGCTGGCGATGATGATGACGATGATGCCATCACCGCCGAGGCTGTCGGAGACGCTCGGCCTCTGGCGCACATCCTCGGCTCGAAGCAACGGAGCGAAGCAGAAGAAGGCTCGCGAGCACAGATGAGCTTGAGAGTACGCGGAGCGTTATATAGCATCGGAGGAAGAGGTGGAGGAGAGAAAGCGCGGAGGAGGAGGCTGTTTGGGTCGCTATATAACTATGTGTACTCCACGCGTTACGAGCTATACACTTACGCGTGTACGCAAAAAAAAAAAAAAAACAGTTTACTACGGATACCAAAGCCTGAGATAGTAGATTGCGCACTGACAGAGTAGAAGACGACGTGCACGACAGAGCAGCACACGAGAGACGGTAACACTTGGAACAAAAGTTACGCTTGAAACATATTTTGGTGTGCGACGTATGTATAAGTAGTCCGAGATCTTGACTTGAGCGAGTAAAAAATTGTATAGGTGTATATAAGTAAAACGAGAAGAAAAGAAAAAGAAAAAAGACTTGGGAGAGATAAGAAGAGAGAGAGATAGAGAAAGAAGGAAGAGAACGAGTAAGCCGAGCGAGGTAGAGGAGAGAGAGAGAGCGCGCACGCCGGCCGGCCGCTCAGCACGCACTGGGCAGCAAGCAGACTTTATACTCCTCCTCGGCGGGCGGCTCGGTATATCTCTGCGACTTGGGCTGCTGGGGAGTACCTAAGTGAAGTAGATATGAAGAGCTGCACACACAGCCTTGCTATACGCGCGCGGGCTCGCTCGGCTCGCTTCGGCAAAGCTCGCGCGATCCCCGTCGTTCCCAAGCTATATAGCTGATAATAGAGAGCTTGCTGCCGCGAATCGAGGCTGATGTGCTCGAATCGAGCTATAGAGCTTTCGCGTTTCTCGCGCCGACCAAACGGAGCTTCGGCTCGACTCGGTACTCTCATTGGCTGTGGCTCGATGGGATGCGCGAGAACACGCTCCCATTGTTACTCCTCCTCCTCCTCCTCCCCCCCCCTTTGGCTCGACGAGAGCTTTTTACCTTGCAAGTCCATAGGTCGCACAGAGCGAGATGCAGCACACCCCCCTCCTCCTCCTCCTGCCTTGCACATACTCTGACGCGCACCCGCGCGCGCCGCGAGATCAATATATCGCAGCTCTATTTTCTCTCTCTTTCCTCCCTCTCTCCCGTTAAGTACCTTATATACCTTGTACGTACAGCGATGATGACGACGACAGAAGCTCCCACACTTCAGTATGTATATTTATATAGGGTACACGAGTGACGGTCCCATGGGACGCGCGTTGATGCTTGCCTGCTGGCTTCTAAGCTCCGGCTTTCTTTGATACACCCTGCTCCATCGGTGCATGTGAGTACCATATGCGTGGGTACAACCCAATACACGTCCCGCGTATGTATATATACATATGTAACGTTATGTTCCCTTCGCTCGCTCTCAACTTTGTTATCGTTATTGTTGTTGCTGTATACGACGGCTACCTTGGCTCCGCTTTCCCCCAACCTCTTGCAACGTGCGTGACAAGGAGGAGGTGAGCGTATACCACCCCCGGTATTATACCTATACCTTATACGGTGCTTTTAACTTTTTCTTGCCCTAATTGTAGTAGCAGCAGCGAGCAACCCTTTATACTTGCCTGCCCCGACTGCAGCGCGATCGCAAAAAAAAAAAAAAAAAAACAAAGAGCGCCGCGAGCTTTTGCTTGAAAGCTCCGTTTGGTAACATTATACAAATAACATGTCGCCGCAAGAAGGTGCTCTATGTGTATAACAAAGAGGCGGGGGGTAATGAAATGGAAAGTAAAATGATGATTGTGCGAATCGTGTACTCAAAAGCTCAACGATTGCGGCAATGGCTTCGGAATTGACAGAATTGAACCCTTGAGAGCTATATCGGTGACCTATCGTTTTGTGAGCTTTCAAATAGAGCAATGATCCAATGGAAACGTTTGTTGTCACATCATTGTGTGTGGAGATGCACGAAATTGACGACAAACCGTACAAAGTTTGAGTTTAATCGTTTTCAAGCTTCAAATTGGGAGTCCAAAGGATACGTATTTTTTGCACGTTTGTTTCGCTGTGCCCGTCGTTGTACTTTCACCCAAGGAATAGGGTGAAAAAGAAAAAAAATCCATCATTTACCCTCTGACGCACTCATTTATCGCTCGAGTTTTGTCGTTGCAGGTTGTTGAAGCAATTATACGAGCTACAGAGCACTATATACTTGTAACGCGTAAGACGTGCGCGCAAGCTCGAGAGCTCCCCGAATTGTTTGACGCTGTTTTTTTTTGCGTCGCCCACGGCTGCCTCTTACAAAGGCGCGCGTTAATATTTCGATTCAATATTGAAAAGGTATTATTTTCACACGCACTCGAGTCTTATTTATAGTATACGTCAGAATGAGTTGATGGAGGGAGGAGGGTCACGCGTCGAGCAATAACAATAAACTTCAAGAGCAATCGTCGACTGATAAGCAAGTAGATGGTGTATACAACGTTTGTATACGCGACACCTTTGTAATCGCTCATCGCAATTAAATCGTAAAAATCGATCGCTCGACTCGGTAGTATTGGCTGCGATTGGAATGCACGAGCACGATTCTCTTTTTTTTTTTCTTTTTCTTTTTGCCCTCTAATCTGTACTCCAAAACGAAATTTATACAAGGGGGGAGGGTGGGGGTGTAAAAAATCATCGGAGCCATTATAAATTATCGAAAGCGAGAGAGGGAGAGCCCTTGGCATTTCAAATTAAAAGCCTCGTGAGGGGGCTGGTATCATTTCGAGGGTTCCACTGCACAAGTATACAACCGAGTATACATTTACGTATACGTGTTTCACGGGGCTCGGCGCTATGTGCGTGCCTGCACGTGACGCTCTACATAAGATACGATCGATCTCTCCCTCGCCAACCTACCTATACAATATAGCGTACACGTATGGCTGATGCCGATGCCAAAGGCTCGCAGAAGAGAGATGTACACGCCAGGACAACGAGCGCTTTTACAGAGACACCCGTTAATATATACCTATAGGTTTGGGCGCGTATACGTACAGAACACTGATCGCGAATCGCGATACCAACATTTTTATTTCCACGATCGCACGGAATCGGTACACGTTTATTTTATACATATATGATGGTTACTCTTCGCGCCGTACTGCTGGAAAGTGATCAGTGGAAAAGCTCAAAACTATACATATCCATACCATACCAGGTAGAAGCAGTTTATGTGTACAATTGTATCGACGTCTCGGATATTTTTCGAAGGTTCATGTGGAATGCACAAATGCAAGATCTAGGCCATGTGCGCTTTTTACCTGCACCGTCCCGCTTACGTTACGCACACGTACGTACGTATACGTGAATGACTTGCGTGTGTATATATACATATATTATATTGTTTACGTGGACGTAAATGTTACGCGTGACCTATAATTTCGGATGCGGGGCGGCGATAATTCGCTAATCAATTTTAGCGACAATAAGTTTATCGCTTTCAAGGATGGGTGTATATTATATTATGATATATGTACGTAACACGTGACGGTGCCTGTACAACACCACCTGTGCGTCCGTCAATGGAAAAAAAAATCGAAAAAAAAAGCTGCAGACTTCTTTTTGTTCGTCTTTTCATCGCGTATAGTTTCTGGCTGCAGTTGAAATTTATACGCACGCGCGTGTACACACGCGCGTATAGCTCAAAAAATTGTATAATCCGGCTCGTAAAGTTGCAAAACGCATTTTTACGGCGATCGAAAGGCGCAAAAAATTTTTTATGGATACCCAACGATGTCGATTTCTTTGTTTCTTTTTTCTTTTTTTTCCTACATGTCGCTCACGCGAGATATGGAAAGGAGTCGACGATAATATATATATATAATATCTAGGCGTGCATGCACCTACACAGGTGCGAGCGTTGCATTGTATCCTCATGTCTCGGCATACGTGCGTGTTTCAAAGGTTTAAAAATAGAAACTTTACAAATTACACCAATCTGAAATGTATTCCAAAGTTATCAGATTTAAATTTGCAAGTAGTATGAAAACTAGAAAATTTCCTCGTTGCTGTTTGTATGTACGGGCACTGTGGTGAGGGAGAGGGGGGGGGGGTTGCGTTAAACTCGGCGCGCTGAAAGCAAAG